CTTCCTCCACCGAATTTGTATTAAGAAAGTTTAGATCTTTTTCCAAGATCAGATAGTAACCTATTACCTAAACGTTTAAATCTTACATTGATCTTTAACAGTTTTTGATGACATAAAGTGACAATATAAATAGATATTTTCCCCAAAGAGCCTATGCAGTTTTCTCATGCTATTTATTTAAATAATCATTTCTTTCTCATTTATAGTTGCTATGCCTTTTTTTTCGTATGTAAGTTCTCATATACATCTGAGTCAATTTCTGGGTCATCCATTTGGCTTCATTGTTCTATTTGTACAACATTATTATTTCATTTTAATTATATAGGCTTTATTTTTTTCCTCAAAATTTAAGCTATTTTTTACCAGCTTATATTTCTAGATATAAAGTTGCCCCCAAATACCACTAGAATTTTGATTTAAATTGCATTAAACACAAATTAAGAGTTATCTTCATATCACAATACTCAGTTTTCCTATCCAGAGATTCTATATTATTTTCTAGTTTTCTTGTGTTATCTCCCAGAAGGAAGTTTGGAAGTTTTGTAGTTTCTTCACAGACATTCTCAGTATTATTTATTTCTTATATTTTTGTATTTGCTACCGTGAATGGGGTCTTTCCCCCATATCTTCCAACTCAGAGTTTTCTAACCATTTTAGTGTCACAAAACTCTTTGAGAATCTGGTGAAATTTTCTGGCCTTCCATAAAAAGTTCTGTAAATAAAATATTTTGCATAGTATTTGAGGCAGTTCACAGACTTCATGAGTCCAGGTTAATTCCTTCTGTTAAAACTAAATATTTCTGGAATTTGAGGAAGCCATTAAATTTTTGTTTGCCTGTATAGTTCTTCAGTCACTTTACTGAACTCTCAATAATTTCAGGTTGACATATTGCTTGGAAAAAATAAATTGAGTTATTTTATTTTATTTTTTTGAGTTATTTTAAATCATTGTTTAAGCCAGTATGGACACCATTATCAATTTCCTCTCTACTATACTGCATCTTGGGGAAGCTCACTAAGCTCTGTCTCCTACCCGCCAATCCTGACCTCCCTGCATAACATGTCTCTTGTTTCATCCAGCTGCCTCTTTTCTGGTTTCTTCCTCTCCCTCACAACCCTTAGAAGAAATGTTTTTTGTTGGTCTATTTGCATGTCTACTTGTGTT